ATCTATAAAAGAATACAAGAGCAGAACGAGACTCGAATTTTTATTATTTTTTTGACAATCAACAACAACAATAATTATATTCGGAAAATACCGTTAATAATGTTTTAGTTTGAATTGGATTTATTTATTGTCTGGTATACTGGAATATTTAGCGTCGTTTTGTAAAGAATTATTGCCTACTTTAGATAATTTTTCCATCCATTACCTGGCGTTCTAATGCCCCATTCTGATGAGCCAATAATATCCCTCATTAAAACTGCTTACGTATAATGATTCTTATAAATTGATAATCAAATTAAATATTTAGTAGACAATTTGTCTACTATGCGAAAAGTTAATTACACTCTTACGCAAATTAATTTTTGAGAATCCCTCTAGGGCTGTTCTTTAATTATTATTATTACACCGAACCGAATTTTTATTGTCTATTAAGTCAATTTTATTAAGTCATATTCGCAATTTTGACAGTTATTCTTATACATAAAGATTAACTAATGGTAAAAAGAAGAATTTAATATGAATAAGATGAAATAAATGAAATACATGAATTAAAAAAACATAAACATTCATTAATTAAATTTAATTAAAAGAAATGTTTTGCTATCGTATCGTAAAAAATAGAGAGATGAATTTTTGTTGTTTTACTAAAAAAATAAAAATTTAATCCTCCTCGTACAAAAGGTCAATCAGTAAAAGTCAAAGGATATCAATTTACTTTTTTTTTTTTCGTTTCTATCAAAGGGACAGTGCATATAAACATTGTTGTCTTCATTGAATGCTACAGATTCGTGAAAGGAATTAAAATTGAATTTATTGACAAAAAATGGGGAGTGTTGTGGTAAGTACAATTTGTCATTTATTGTTAAACAATGAAATATTCAAACCTTTAAAAGTCCATTTCTTTATGGAACATTTTATTTATCAAATTAACCGAATTAAAACCTACATAAATAACAATTAATTAATTTAATGTTTCATTATTTCAGGTATAGTATAAATATAAGTGCTTTATCATTTTATTGAGTTCAATAAACCCCGTTCTTGCAATTTTTCCGTTGCATTTTTCTTTTAGCTTATTTTAATTAAATATTGTGTTTACAACACCTAACATTACTATAGCTTAATTAACCAGAGAATGTAATCATTAAAAAAGTGAAAGCAAAAATGTTTAGACCAAATTACATAAGATATCATAAGCAAATTTAAAACTTCAAAACGGTAACTTTAAATAATTATTATAGACAACAAATAGATTATTAAAGGTAAAAGGTCATAAAACTTTTAGTCTAATTCTTATTTGAGTGATTAAACTAATTGATCCCATCCATGAGAAGTTTCCCTTAATCCCATGATGTATCGGACTTCGCACATGTCAATCAAGCATCAAGCAAACCGTTGATTTTCAACCTCCAAAGTAGTACACGCGAAATAGCACGCAATATTAGCTTCTCACAAAATTTGTGATACTGTCACAAATGTTGAAGGAGTAGTTATTACATTCTTATCATTTACAGCAAATACTAGTCTTGCAGGAAACTGATTTTAAGCTAATAATGGAGTTTTCGACAGGAAAATACTACAGAGCTCAACTATTTTCAAAGAGTATTGTTTATAGATAAATGTTGTTTCACGAAATAATTATAAATAGTCAGTATTGGCGGTGTGACTGCAGAACTTTTTTGCACGATTCAGAAATAATTTTGGTAGACGTCCCGATGCCTGTCTTCTAGAACGGAATTCAATTTTTTGTCTCTTAATCACGTTGCTGTACCCACAGTGTGATTCCCTATTACATATAATTGATACTCTCCAAATATTGCCACTTATTTCAAAAACACCCTGTACGTAACAGGTACAGTATGGTCCAACAAGCAACGGTGATTCAAAGTTAAATTTTCCTAAATGAAACATCTTTAAAGAAGTGCTACTTTATTAACAATACTTTTGGACTAATATTGAGATAAAAATCCAAAAATATAACTACGCAAATCCTAAATTTGATGTCTTTTCACCTCATCACTTTCGACTTCGTGATCTCATAAAATTTTACATTTTTAGTTCCTATTTTCTGGCCTGCCCATTATGTATAAATACATATATAGCGAGGTGTAATAAATGTTTGGGGTTTTTATCATTTTATTAATATAGGTAAATTATAGAGAGATAAAATTAGAATCCTAAATCATTCTCATAAGTGCACCACGCTATAAGAGAGAAGTTACAGTATATTTGTTACTGTTACTACCAAATTAAACGAAAAGAAATTATGCACTATGTTATCATCATACTTAATATAGATAGGTACATATAATACTCTTTTGTGCACTAATATTTAAAAATGGAATTATTAAAGTCTATAAAAGAAAATAGTTTCCCAAATTTTTACAGCTAATACATATCATAGGTATTTTGAACTAGAAAAAGGAATTTGGTTTCTTTGATGGGATGTACGCATATTGTAACATTTTTTTCTAACGTTTTTTTTTAGTTAGCAGTTTTCTTGATGTGCATGGTGGTAGTGGCAATGGCTGACGTTGACATGCAACATGATCATGTAGAACCACATGAACAACAGCATGCACATCACCAAGGGCAACATGATCCACAACATGAGCACACACATAAAGAACAACATGGGCATGGTTCTCATTATGAATCCGACCATCACCATTATTAACTTTGGACACATCTCTTTCAATATTTCACAAATATTATGTTGATATAATCAAGGAGCATTGCTTAGTTGTTTATACAATACATTTTGTAATAAAACTTTAGTGACTCTGTTGTCTGCATTAGGTCTTCAAAATGATTTTACTTCCCTGATACCACTATTTATAACAAAAAATTAGTGAAGAGTAAAGCAAGACTAAGACCAAGACTGTCCCAGTCTTTGGTCATTACGACAAAATATTCAAATCTACGTTAAAATTATAGATACCATTGCTATCTACTGCTACATAAAATATAAATGTATTTACTCAATTGTTACCGTATCAGGCATTTTATTTCAAATACTTATTACAAAATATCCATATTGCACTCTGTACTTCCCAGTTGTGGCCTATAAAGGTAGTAACTCGCAAAAGAATTACATAAAAGGAGTACTGGTACTGTTACTGAAAGTTCTCATTTTAGTTTTTACTGTTATACAAACAAGTCATGGAAAATAGAGTGGCGAGAGAGAGTGGAAAAAACCTGAGAACCAACAAAATGAACAAAATTTGCAGTTTGAATTTTCAAAAGAGTGGAAAATTATGCACAAGAAATTACCTTTAATCCTTCAACTTTCAACATTCCTAAAATTTACTCCCAAAAGCATTCAATAAGTCTTCTTTCATTATTCACATTCCTAACGTGAAATCTTATTAAAAGTTTTCGGAATTTAGAAACAATTTTCGCAGAAAAATGCTGAATTGTACTTCTCGATAATTAGTTTTAAGCATTAAAATTGTTTTTTTGATTGTGTTTTTACGAAAAAAAAAGGAAAAGGGACGCAGTAAAATAGGTTCAAACAGGATCGTTTATTATTTAAAAGTTGCAAACACGGTTGTCTTAGAAATACACTTCCATGACTTTATGTGTGATTGAGTTACAACGTCTGGACCGTGTTACATCTTCAGTCGTTATGAAGTAATTAATTGTACACTTAGCACTATACGGGTTTTATGTAAATGATCGCCTGGGTGTGACGTTCAGTTCCGATTGATTGTATTGCAGCTCCAGAATTACTTTCATCAGCGGTTTTCATATGTTACTGATTTCCACACTTATATGACTAAACGTTGATCGTTGCTGAATGTATGTTGCTTCTTTAAAGTTACACGGGAACTAGTGTTCTTCCATGTGAAGAATTTTTGTCTCCTCTGCCTTCCTCCAATGAATTTTGCGTGTTCTGCTATACCGTACCGTGTAGTTTCTCCCCTTTTTTGTATATGATAAATGTTCCTTCATCCGATTTTCAAATGATCTCTTCGTTTCCCCAATGTATAACTGACTGCATTCGTAAATAATATAGGGAACTTCGTTCCTTTCTCTGTGTGAAGGCTTCGTTTTCATGAGATAGTCACGCAAAGAGGAGAACTAAGAGAAGGCTGCTTTTATTAACAATTAAAATCGTAATTAATACCGATGTAGATGTACATTTCCTGAATTATGGCAAAAAAGAAAAATGAAGCAGCCAGACAGACAGGCAAACAAACGGTAGAATAATTGTGTTTATCAATGTAACATTATTATTTGCGTTAGAGTTTTTAAGAAATACAAATTTCACTCGGTTGAGCTCTCAGCTGACTGTTTTATTTATTACGTATCTTTATTTAACTTTTTAAGAAATACAACTTTTAGCTGACGATGGGCACACATTCACGTCTTTTCAAAACCACGCGTTGTTATGATGTTAACAAATTCAAAGAGCAATAGCATCATTACAAATACAAAAGGCTTTCGTACAAATCTTATCAGAAAAGAAGTGCCTAAGCCATAAAATTGTGACGTATGTTACTGTTAATGTTAATAAATCATGGTTGTAGCAGCCAAAAAGACTGCCTTAATAGGCTCGCAGATATAAATAGAAATATTTTCAAAAATTTTCATTCCATTTGTAATTTCTAAAGACACTTGAATTAGAGTATCTACCTAGATTGTTGTTACATATAACAGTTGCTTTTTTATTAAAACTGAAATGGGTGACGATAATGTGAAGAAATGCGGCAGAACCTATCTGGCAGCAGTAGTCTTTTCAAGTAAGTAGAAATAGAATTAAATTATTTTTTTANGTCAATTTGCACATACACCTTGGCCAACAAATGCTTTCAAAATTTCATTTAAATTTTAAAACGACCCAACTGTATCTACGCTGCGTTGGTTTTATCGATCATTCGAAACTATCGACGTATCAACATATTATTTACAACATCTCTGGCAGCAGTAGTCTTTTCAAGTAAGTAGAAATAGAATTAAATTATTTTTTTAATACTTTGTTCAATATCTAAAAAAAGTAATTAAGTTTTTAGTTTGTATGTTGGTCGCGATTTCGAAATTATTGGTTCTCATAGGCACGCCATAGACAGTTCGATCAATTATCGATCAAACTGAAATTGATCCGTAAGAGAATGATTACATATTATAAGGCAATGATCAATATGTCGTCATGTAGTAATATTTACAGCAAAAAGTAGTATTCCAAATATTTTATAAGACCTTACAAACGGATCCACATGACAAAACTAGACCTACGACGCAGCTTATATACATGATAAGTATATAAACCAAATTAATAAAGCAGCAAATATCATATACGACCTGCAGGGTGAGAATAAATGGACTATATAGGATAATCGAAAAAATATTTATTTCATTAATTGCACCAAACGGCACCGAAATTAAGACTGTTACTTAGAATTCGGGAGGACGCCGCGCGGGGGTTTGATTTCGGGTCCGTCAACCGTGGTTCTAGCTTTTTTTTGTGATTTTCTTGGATTACTTAGGAAAAACAATTAACAATCTATAATCTTACGTTTTATGTTTTAATTTTTGCAAGTAAGTATTGATTGTTGTTATCAATTAAAAATTTCCGAAAAACTATGGAGATTAATAATTCACTTTCATATAAATGCAAAATTTGCTGTGCAAATCGCTGATAGCATTCATTCATTGCGTAGCCCATTAAGTCTTATTCTTTTCATATTTCAACTAACTGACTATCTTCACTAAAACAGAGCTCGTGGTTCCAATAAATTATACACCGCCTAATTTGCTAAATACAAACTAGTTGATAAAATTCAACCAACTTGAAACGAATTTCTAAATTTCTACAATTAATTTTTCATCTAGCAGAATCTTTATAATATTGTTTATAAAATTTTTGAATAGGTATTTATTATCACAAAAACAATATAGATAACGGTTATAACATTCATTGTACACATCCTTAAATTTATAGTTCTCACAAAACACATTGTTGTAACTATATGTAATAGAAAAACGAAAACACTGTGTGCCTATTGTATTGCATCATTACTGCACATTAAATTAAGTAAAATGGTGTAAGATAGTTTTTTAGGGGAAGAATGAGTGAAACCCTCTTTTGATTGAGGATACTAAACCAACAAAAACCATGTTACTTTTTTTTATCGTGAAAGTACAACTGTTAAAGAAAAAAAAAATAAGCCCAAAGTAGTTTCTGTCGGATCGTCCCTCGAGATAGAGGAGCCGATTTTCGAGAGCACTTTTTTTCAATTGATATATCTTAAAAAATTTTCAATATATTTAGTTTCTTTTTTCGCATGCTAAGCGCTACATTTGCAGCGAGTAGCAAGTTAAAAACTGCTAAAAAAGTTGATTCGACGGTTTTTTCGGTATATCCCGATAAGTAATGCATAGAGAAAAAAAAATTAATCGATAAAAATACCTTCAATTTTGCGATTCAACTTTTTGAAGAAGTTTGATTTTTCACAACTCCAAGGAATTGCAGACATGAGTATCTATTTTGCTATTTATTTCAATTTAATCTATGCGTTCCTGAGAAAAAGGGTTTTGATAGATAGACAAACAGACAGACGGACGCACAACGAAGTAACTCTAATATAAGACCTCCTTTTTCCTAATATTAAAATCAGCATCAATATCAATGCATGATTACCACAAAATAGCTTAGGGAAAATTTTACAACTTTTTTGCTTACCGCCCCGTCCCGAAATATTTAATTTCTGTTTAATGAATTTAGGAAAGATACCATAAAATCTACCGAAAACCTTAGTTAATAATAATAACAATTTTTATCAGTAAATTACACGGGAGTTATAGTTTTCTACAATACCATTCTTCTTTCTTTTCAGGTAATTTGGCAACATTTATGGCTGGAGTATTATTAACCTGGTCGTCTCCAGTTTTTCCTCGACTGAACACAATCAACGACGACAATCCCTTCGGAAAAGTGGTGACACCTTCTGAACAATCACTAATCAGCTCATTGTTACCGTTGGGTGCTTCACTCGGTCCCATAATTGCAGGTTTACTGACCGACAGAATCGGAAGAAAGAAGACTCTTCTAATTTTTTCAGGGATCCCACTCGCAGGAGCTTCTATCACGCTAATTTTTGCAAAATCAATTCTCGTCTACTACATTGCAAGATTTATTGCTGGTGTCGGGGTAGCAAACACTTTCGTGGTAATTCCCATTTATCTGAGCGAAATATCTGAAGTTTCAATACGGGGTATGGTAGCATCATCTTTCGGTTTCTTTTGTGCTGTTGGACAATTGTTTTCGTACTCTGTTGGGCCCTACGTTTCTATCGTAACGTTTAATACAATCTGTGCTGTAATTCCAATACTATTTGTCCTAACTTTCTTGTTTTGTCCTGAAAGTCCTCACTATTCTATTTCTAAAAAGGATATGAACACTGCTCAAGTGTCCCTTTCCAAACTACGAAACATGTCCACAGAAGATGTCGATAGGGAACTTAAATTAATAAAGGAGAATGTGGAAAACGCTTTGAAAAATGAAGGAATAATTTTGGACATATTTACGAACAAAGGATATAGAAAAGCATTCCTCATTTGTCTTGGATTGTTCACATTCCAACAGTTCTCTGGCATACTCGCTATTCTTTTTAATGCTTCAGATATATTTGCGGCAAGTGGTAGTTCCCTGGACTCGAGCATTTCGGCAATTGTCATAGGAGCTGTCCAGGTTTTTGCATGTTTGATAACACCAATTTTCGTCGATAGATTAGGCCGAAAGATGTTACTGCAGCTTTCAGTGATTGGAATGGTTATTTCGGAAATACCTTTGGGTCTGTACTATTTTCTGAAAGATCACGATTATAATGTAGAATCCATAAGTTGGTTACCGGTTACATGCCTCATAGTATTCATACTCACATATGCGTGGGGACTTGGTTCAGTAAGTTGGATTTTAGTTGGTGAAGTATTTCCAACGAATATTAAAGCGGCCGCCTCGACTATGGTTACAAGTTATTGTTGGTTTCTTGCGTTTGTTGTATCTACACTCTTTTTGAGTTTAATAAATTTAATGGGGATGGGGGGAGCTTTGTTGTTTTTCGCTTCTTGTTGTTGTGTGGCTATTGTTTTTACATTTTGCTTTGTTTTTGAAACGGCTGGAAAAACAATTCAGCAAATACAAGAAATGCTCAATAAATAAAATAACATGTTAATATAAAACATACGGATGGTGTGATAAACCGTTACCTCGAGACTGTGATTTTTGTATATATAAACTGAATATAATAATATAATTAGATATTATCTATGCATTATACTAAGTATTCTAAGTGCTGCCTTTGTAATTTATAATAAAAATAAAAAATGAATGCACTTTTGGTTTTTAGTTCACTATTTTAGTTACTGACGAGATAGAGTAGGACGAGGTTATTGAATACAATGATTGAAACATAAAGACTAGGTTTCATCTGGGCTTGGCTCGCGTTGATGGCCTAAATACGTGTCAAAATCATGGACGACCACATAAAAATAATTTTTCTATTCCTCAGGAATAGTATTTCTTTCTGGATGAAAGATACCCTATGTCCTTTTCTGTACCCCCGACAATGCGTGTACTTAATATGACAGGTTTTACCCGCGGCTTCACTCACGTTGATGACCTAAATACATGTCAAAGATCATCGACGACCACATAAAACTAATTTTTCTATCCTTCAGGAACAGTATTTCATTCTGGATGAAAGACATCCTCATCAGCATCATAAGGTCGTCAGTCCTAAGACTGGTTGAACACGTAACTCCACTCTTTCCTATCCTGAGCTAATCTTCGCATTTCCCTAAAACTAGAACAGCCCACATCCTTAACTATTTGCGAACAGTAATCTAATCTAGGTCTACCTCTACCCGTCCTAACTCCTGTTTCTGCCTCTACTATGTCTCTGACTAGACCTTCATGCCTGAGAAGGTGTCCTACCAACCTATCTCGCCTACTTTTTATTGACTTCCATAGAGTCCTCTGTTCTCCTATTCCTTCCAATACCTCTTCATTTCTAACCTTTTCTATCCACGGCATCCTCATCATTCGCCTGTAACACCACATTTCGAACGCTTCTGACCTTTTCTTTTCCGCCGCGCCCATTGTCCATGTTCCGCACCCGTACAACGCCGCGCTCCAGACATACACCTTTAACAACCTTTTTCGAATTTCTAAATTAACCGTTCGCGAGCATAGAAGTGACTTCTTTTTATTAAAGGCGACACAACCCTGCGCTATCCTCTTCTTTATATCCCTACTACTCCTTCCATCCTTATCTGACTTCTTAGGTATCTAAATCAGCTACTTCTTCTAACTTTTCGTCTCCTATCTTTATATTCGCTCTTTCCCTACACAATACACCCTATGTCCTTTTTTGTATCCAAGACAATGTGTGTACTAAACATTATAGATTAGACGTAATCTTCCTCGACGTGCATGCCCACTTTTACTAAAACAAATAATCAGAAATTAATGATACCCAGAATTTGTGTGATTTTGACTACCATCATATTCATAAAGTTTTCCTGAAAACTAATATTCAGGCAACATTTCTTGAAAACTAAAACAACAATCTCCATCTCTAACTAGTTGCAAACAGAAACCTAATTTATCTCTACCTTTGACTCCTGTTTCTACTTCTAATAAGTCTCTAACTTGTCCTTCATGTTTCTAAATATTCCATGAAAAATAAAAAGCTTCTGGTAAACGATTAATTATATATTTTATCTATTATTTTTAAAATTTCGTATAAGAACTGTATTGTTTTGAATGCAGTAAATTAAATAACAAAAGATTAAACTGATTACTATCTGCAGCAATAAATCAGGTGTGTTAGGATTACATATGTATATTATAAGCTTATCGTCTTTTTTTGGAGGTGTACTTAATTGAAGTATTTGTTGAGTAATATGAAATGAGACATAAATTGTAGGTACTATACTTATCATATGGGATAGTAAATGGTATCAAATAAAATGTGTCTATAAATCATCCCCTACAGTCCTCATATTGTTAAGAGGGGTGACAGGAGGGGGCTCAATACCCATACGATGTTATGGTGAAGCTAATGAATTGCTGGACATCATCATAAGGTTGTCAGTCCTAAGACTGACTGGACACGCACCTCCACTCTTTCCTATCTTGAGCTAATCTTCGAATTTTCCTAAAAGTAAAAATTCTCATATCCGTAACTATTTGTTTTTAATCTAGGTCTACTTCTACTCCTCTTAACTCCCGGTTCTGCTTCTAATATATATGTAATTATCTCTTCATGCCTGAGAATGTGTCCTTTCCGCAAATGAAAAAATAACATTTTATTGTATTCCATTGTTATCACACAATATATGACATACAATAAGCGATACAATTGGTAGCACCGTAAATTAGGTAACAAAAGATTAAACCAACTATTATCTGTAATAATAAACAGTGTGTTGTTATAAAGCCGGGAATACATCTGAAGAACGTTGTCATCAATTCGCATTTGTTTGCGTTTGTTCGTCAAGTGTATGTACATGGTCGTTTACATTTCGGGAAGATAGATGGATTTTACTTTTGTTTTTTATTATCATTGTAGAGAAAGAATTTAAGTGAAAATCAGTTATTAGTGCCAGTGTCTACTACATAATTAACAATAAAATTATACAGCGAAGAAAATGAAAAAAAAAAAGAAGGGCAAACAGACTTATATGTAAGTAGAAATAGATATGATTGCATGAATTTACTACATAGTATTTCAAATAACAATAAGGACATGGTTACCTACTGATGTTCAAACATCAAAGGATAATTTGTTCACATGTGTCACTCTACTTAGAAACGTTTTCGCGAATGTCTACGAACGAGCTACAATGATGGGAATGTAAACGAATGCGAAGGAATGGCAATGTATTCCCAACTTTATTTACGTATCCGCTTGTACCATATGTGCAGGGGCGGATTTAGGTAATACACTTTTTTACTGATGCTGAAATGACACTAATTATTTACATGTTGCTATAGTTATTGATGAATTTATAAATTCTTTATAAAGTTTAATATTCCAGACAAAAATCTAACAGATGAACATGAACAGACCTCCTTAATTAGATTATTTTAGAAATTGTTATGTAGAACATTAATGTGAAATAAATATCTACTATATATTCAATGCCTTTTACTTAACAATTTAATTTTTCGACAAAATATTTCAGAATAAAGACAAGTACAATGTCATAAATACATATCTGTATCAGTTTTTTTTTGTCGAATGCATTACATGCATTGCACGAAAACAATTTTACAATGAAATAATTTACAACAAATAACAATCATTTCAAAGCTCTTTGTATTATCGCGCTATTCATATTGTTATCATCATTATTGAGATATTATCATTTTTAGTGTCAAACGAACACGTTTAATCACGATGAAGATTTAATCAACATTCGTTTACCGTAAACCATTATTGCTTCAGCAGATACACCTTAGAAAGCTTAACAACTAGTGATACTTTTATACATTTAGGTAAGAGCTAAAGTGTTTTTTGAATTTCTGAAATACCGAAGTACATAATTTTCAAAGTTATTTTGTGACTACCCTTATTTCTAAAGATCTAAAGAATAATGTGTGCCAATAAGATAAAGTTAGCATCGCGAAATTTAATTCTTTTTCAAATCGACTATTTAATAATTATAGGGTGATAGTTTACAAAATTGCCTTTTATATGCCTTTTTGGAATATTAAATTATCCGAACTATATAATTGCCTAAACGTTTTGAAAAAATGTACAATTAATTAGTAGGTACGCGTTGATTTGAAAATTAATAAATGTTTTATTTTTTCTCAAATTATATACGTAATTAAGTTGAAAAAGGGTATTTCCCATCAATGAGGTAAATTAAGAAGTATTAAAAAAAGATATTTTGATGATTATAAATGATTTTTTAATACTTATTTTGCACAATGCTTAAACAATAATTGTTTTTATTAATTACAAACTTTTATCCCTTGCTTCGTTCGCATTGATGTCCTAAATATGTATCAAAAATCATCGAGCAGTTAAGGGTTGCATAAAAGCACATAGGATATCATTTATCCAGAAAAAGTACTGTTTCCTAGGAACAGAAAAAAATTAGTTTCATGTGGTCGATTTCACACCATAACTACCTTATTGATCACCATGAAATTTTATAGACACATTGTCAGGGTTGCAGAGAAGCTTATAGGGTAATTTTTATCCAGAAAAAATGATGCTCCTGAGGGACATAAAAAATTAGTTTTATGTGGTCGATTTTCCGCTATAACTACTCCATCGACCACCATGAAATTTTGTTAGGGGTACAGAAAAGGACTTTATCCAGAAAAAATATTCTTCCCCAGGGATAAGAAAATTAATTTTATGTGTTCTATTTCAGGATTTAATTACACAATCGATCATCATAAAATTTTGTAGACACATTGACAGTGGTACAGAAAAGGGTGTAGGGTACCTTTTAGACTGTTCCTGAGGGACTTAGAACATCAACGTAAGCGAAGCTGCGGGTAAAATCTACTTTATAATATATTAGCTAGGGTTAATTACATAATAAGACAAATAAAAAGTGCATTTAAAGGGCAATTTTTAATCTATCACGTTTACTTCAAAAATTCAAAATTGACTCTACCGTTGTGTGTGTGGTAAAATTAATAAGCCAATTATTGTTCTGCTTTTGGTCCAACACTAACAAACATAGGAAAGTGAATATGTGTAAAGTAGTTAATTTTAACGTTTAATTTAGAAACATGCGTTTATACCACTTTATTGTAATATCTTTTACAGATTATATGAAACGGATCGCAAAAAGTATACCGATTTCGACATTCAGATAAGTAAACAAAGTCAAATAAAAAACTACGCAATTTTATCAGTTCTTGTGAATTGACAGGTGTTGGACGGAGTTTAATATCAGGTAATACTATATTTTTTTAGTTACTTATATGTAAGATGTTATCAATGACAAGTTTTATTATTATTAAATAAAAAAAGATTAATTTTATTTGAATATATTTAAAGAACAGGTATTCAGTGTCACTGAAGGTAAACTCGGTGGTGATTACTCATTTAAAATTTAAAAATCCTTGCTCATACATGTTTAAAACTATTAAATTACCATCTCTTGAGATTATTTTATTGTTCAAGTTCCTCCTTAGTAATATTGACATATAATAATATTACTATTTTCATAAATAACGCAAAATTGTTCACAATATTATTAAGAAAGAAAAAATGATTAATACGAAAAAATTACTCTCACATTCACGGTTCCTAATAGTAGAGCTATCGATTTTAAAAGTTTAATTAATTTGAGTACAATAGAAGTAAGTAATTAATATTCCTTGTTTCATCTAGATCTTCCTGATACGGTATCTAAAAATTTTTTTGGAAATCAAAAGTTAACAACAAATACTTCAATAGTTCGTTAAATGAATAGATAGAAACAACAAAGATTTAACTTGGCTTATGTAATTCAGTTTGCTTAGTTGCCTTTGGAATCCTGAACAGAAAATAAGTGAAGATGTTGGAGGCACTCAGAAATCGAGGATACCAGCTAGCAGCAGTAATGTCCTGTAAGTAGAATTAGAACCCTTTGTCTGATTTCAAATTTTTACCAGACATTGTTAAATTAAGATATCTAGTAGGATTTTTGACGACTCGAATAGGAATAGGTGAAAAAAAAATTGTTTTCCATTTTGTTTTTTTAATAATTTAAAATTCACTACTCCACATCTCTTTTCTTTTCTTGATATTTGTATAAGCAAAAAAATATTGATTTTGGCTGTAGCTGTAAAAAAATGTGGTTGTCTTTAAGAAGTTATGGAATTCCCAAAAAAATAATGGGTTTTAAGAAAAAGTAAGTGATGTCCGAATCAATCAGAAGTAGGGATTTTCTTGTGGTTCACATTGCTGTAAACAAAAGAGAAGTTAACAAATTCCTAAAAAGAATAATGGGATAGTTTTAGACAGCCAAACGCTATCAAAATCAACCAGAAGTAGGGATTTTTTGTGGTTCACATTGATGTAAGTAAACAAAACAAATACGCAGGAACTTCGTTCGTATTGTCTTTTCCTACCTTAACCTTATGATCCTATGCAAGCAAAACTATAAGATTAGGAAAAGGCAATACGAATGAAAAATTCTAATCCTTGGGTTTGGTTGTTATCCTTACTCCTTATAAACCTTGAAAACTACATCCAATGCCTTTGGTTTGGGAATTTGTTAACCTATACAAGTCTTTAACATTTTCTCTACAATTACAGCCATAGTTAATAATTTTTTGCATACCTATACAAACATGAGGACAAGAAAGGGATGAGAACCAACGGGGTGTTAATAATTTAGACGTATTTAATTTGAATACTTAACTTATATGTTAACATAAAAGTCCATGTTCTGGGTAATGTTCAAATTCGAGTCTTACATATTCACAAGTCCAAAATGTTTTAAATCATAAAAATTCCTGAACAAAAAATCTAAAATATAACATTGTTACGTAGTCGAGTATAGAAAAAGGATATATATTATTTTTTTCAGTAACAGATAAATAAGAAGTTGATGATGTTATCACTTCCTCTGCTCAATTATTTACATGATAATTTGTTGTTTGTACAAACGTTGAGTTAATTATTTTTAATTTTTAATCACCAACTGATAATACTACATATTACATGGAGAAGCACTTTTAGGAATTTGTTTTGCTTTTTCATTCTTTATATCTAATAACTAGAAAAGAAATTATCAAAAGCTGTTGGTTCTTTTATTAAAAAATTTTCCACTACCGATATTGTGGAAACACCTATCTTTAAGCAGATATAAAATTACTAATAGGTAGTTGCATTTAAAGTTCTTATATGAGCTAGTAATGGTTAGACGTAGTTTAAAATGACCTGGGTTACGAAATTGGGTAGTGGCGTCATATTGCATTCACTTCAAAAACATCCACTCAACTGCTAACTATGTTAACGATGACGATGTCACAGCAAATGTTTTTAGTGAGATGTGAAAATCAATGACAGGGGGAATTTTGGCATTGCGCAACTCAAGGTCATGACCCATGAGACTCTTAACTACCTCTACTCGTCGTGGGTTCTCCAGAAGTATACATACATACGTGATAACAGTTTATTAACGCTTGAAACTCAAGAACTATGATTCTGATAAAAAAATTAAATTCTTAGAATTTCGATATCGTTTGAATGTCGCCATATTCGACTTTATTTGTATTTTTAGGATATACTACGCTTTGTTTCAACCTTTTAGAATGTGAGTTTCGCAAAATCCGCTGTCAATTTGCACATACACCTTGGCCAACAAATGCTTTCAAAATTTCATTTAAATTTTAAAACGACCCAACTGTATCTACGCTGCGTTGGTTTTATCGATCATTCGAAACTATCGACGTATCAACATATTATTTACAACATCTATTAAAAAAACAATACAACGTGTTTACTAGGATATTGCTCATTCAAAAATATAAATCGATTTATTAAATATCAAAAACTAACTTGTTTACTTTTCATACTACAAGGAAGCTGTCAGAAAAAAACTTCCCTATAGATATAGATAATACGCACATACGTTTAATACCACTTGTGAACGTTTTATCATTAACTATTTGGACGACGTCACTTTTTGTTATGTAATTAAACTAAACATATTCGAGGAAATAACGAATGTGATAATAAAGGAACAATCTATAATTTTCTAGGTAGTATAGCCTCATTCGCCGTTGGGCTGATATTAACATGGACATCGCCCGTATTCCCGAAACTTAACAACAGTACAGGTATCTTGGACGATAATCCTTTTGATGCACCCATTACCACTGAAGAACAGTCCTGGATAGCATCTTTTCTATCATGTGGAGCTATTTTTGGACCATTTGTAGCAGGATTCCTTGTCGATAGAATTGGACGTAAATGGACTTTAGTTTGCGCGTCTGGTGTTCCCCTAACAGCAGCATTTCTAATGTTAGCATTTGGTAGAACCCCAGTTGTATACTACGTGGCGAGGTTCATCGGCGGTTTAGGAATGGGGGTAGTTTTTACTGCTTTGCCCATGTATATAGGGGAAATATCTGAAGCACCAATAAGAGGAACCATGGCATCGTTTTTCAATATTTTTATGGTTAGTGGAGAACTAGCTTCTTACGCTTTAGGACCTTATATACCGATCATGTGGTTCAGCATAATTTGCGCTATATTTCCTGCTGCATTTGTGATTTTGTTCTCGCTTTTCCCGGACAGCCCTCATTATTACATTTCGAAAAACAATATTCCTGCTGCTGAATCATCCCTTGCAAAACTTAGGGGTACAGACACAGCGGGGATTAAAAAAGAGTTTGCTGTAATAAAGGAGAGCGTCGAAAACGATATGAAAAATAGAGGCACAATAGCTGATGTGATAAAAAATCGTGGTTTGAGGAAGGCCTTGTTGATATGCTTGGGGCTAGTAACCTTGCAACAATTGTCAGGTATCCAAACTGTTTTAACATACGTGACGAATATTTTTAATGCTTCTGGAAGCTCCATGGATTCCGACATTTCTTCTCTCATAGTTGGCATAGTCCAATTTGCGACAGGTTTTACGACCCCTGTGTTTGTAGACCGGCTGGGGAGGAAAATGCTGTTTTTGATATCAGCGGTAGGAATGGTGATATCGGAAGTACCACTCGGGGTTTACTTCTATTTAGAAGAGAATGACCATGATGTGAGCAATATCGGATGGTTACCTGTTGTTTCTATGATCGCTTATATTATTACATACAATTTTGGTTTTGGCCCGTTACCCTGGACGGTTATGGGCGAGGTATTCCCAGCTAATGTGAAAGCTGCTGCTTCTACAATAACGGCAAGTTTCTGCTGGATTATGGGATTCGTTGTAGTACGATTTTTCGGTAATCTACAAGACGCTGTTGGTCTGGGTATGACCTACTGGATTTTTTCAGCTTTCTGTTTCGTGGCAATATTCTTCACCCTTTTCTTCGTCATAGAAACGAAAGGGAAAACGTTTGCCGAAATTCAAGAAATATTAAACCGATGAGAGTGCTATTATAACGACTATTTTCCCAACTGAGTAATTGTAAAGCACGCAGCTGTTGTACCGAAAGACTATTACATAATACGTATTATTGTGATATATTATTATACTGAATAAGAGAGAGGAACAAATAAATTTATTTTGATACAGTTTTATTAAAATATGATAATCGATTGACAAACCCAGAGTTACTTTTCTAATTATAGGTATAATTTATTTAAAAGTGTGATATGTAGTAAAAGAATGAATAACAACAATGTTGTTTCGCAGATTTTTTAATAAAGTTACCGGTTGAAAGAATCCGCTTCAATTTTATTTAATACCCTGAGAAGAGGATCCACAATAATATATTGTAAAACTATCAATAATAATAATGACAAAGCTTTTCATTGACCTCGCATCTTATACAAGTATCTCAGACGTATTGAAAATTCCAGGCACAATTGCTGGAATTGTCTAACAAAAGTGACCTTTGCTCTTTCAATTGATCCCTGGTAGGGGAGAGCGGTGTCTAGTGATCTCTTAAGGTAAACTATGTGGGATAAAATGATCCCGGAATACCTCAATATTATAAATTAATCACCATTAGCTTACTTTTATATTTCTTTCTGAAAAGAGAAAATTCATAAAAATGAAAAGAAATAAAAGGAAGGCGCTGAAGACAAAGGAAAAGCAAAACAGATGGGACTTTGAAAGGAAAAAAGTTAATTGGAATAACAAAAAGACTTGGGAAACTAGCAGCGAAGGTTCGGGTGACACAATAGGTATATGCTGCGAAAAATTTCGAAAAGTTCAGTAGGCTGGATTCAACGGACTACTTGTCAATAGGCACATGATGGGTGAGCAAGGATTAGCAGTAGTGAGGATGATTATACATACATGCCTAGATACGTGTAATTAATTTTTAACAATTTTATAAAAAAAACATTATGAAAATGTATAAAATAAAGTTTGGAACTAGTACAAGTATTTTACCTAAAAATTAAATTTACTAACAAATAGACAAAAGTAACGTTAAATATTAAAATAATATAATTTTAATGGTTGGATATGATAATAGAAGTACAACTCCTACATATTCTCTGTGAGCATATATTATAACAAAAGAAAAGAATAAGAAGAATAGAAATTGAACTGAAAAAGAAAAGAAGGGAAGAAAGGAAATTAAACCTGATAATTTTAGGAAAAGAGCTAGAGAAGAATAAAGAGTAATAGGGAGTAGGAAAGAGTTATAAAAGAGAAGATGGGACTGAAGGTAGAAGTAAAGGAAGTACGGAAAGTTGAAATGAAGACATGGAGCAAAAATGGAGAGGTGGGAAGAAAAGATGCAGGTGACTGTGGAAGAGACAGGAATACAGAAGGTATTGGAACAAGCGGTAAAAAAGGGAGAGGAAAATAATGTGGATAAGACGATTAGAGTTGGGTACAAGAATAATAATAGGTGAGGTGGTATGGATATGGAACGAGGAAAAGGAAGAATGGTAAACAAAAAAAAAGGACATTTCGTACAGAATAAGAAGGGTGTTAAAATGAAGTTGAGCATAAGTATGTGGAATGAAGCAGATATAAAAACCGTCGGATAAAAAATTTTTGGAATAGTATTTACTGCGATTTTTAGGCTGAAAGTTGTTTTATATTATGTTATTGGTGAACGAATGTAAATATAACTTAATGTTATAGAAAAGTTACTACAACTATTTATTTGATTGGAATAAAATTTTAATAAGATTAATAACCATAAAAAAGACTTCTTTCTTTCTAGATGACTTCAAAGTGGGTGCGAATGAGTTCATTTTACTCGATAGATTTTCATTTATTGTAGTGATGAAATAAGTGAGACATATCGAAAAAATTAGTGTTTCTATATTTCAACCATGTGTTATTCAGGCATAAGAACAAAGGCCATTTACTCCAAGGACATTCTTGTAGATCCCCTTTTTCAAACAGTGATAATGTTTCTTTTATAATATATATAGTGTTAAATAAGAAGTGGCTGATTTTAGATACCTAGGAAGTCAGATAAGTCAGGATGGTACGAGTAGTAGGGATATAAAGCAGAGGATAGCGCAGGGTCGTGTCGCTTTTAATAAAAAGAAGTCACTTCTATGCTCGCGAACGGTTAATTTAGAAATTCGAAAAAGGTTGTTAAAGGTGTATGTTTGGAGCACGGCGTTGTACGGGTG